AAAATTTTGGGTCTTATTAATATCGATCCATTACCGTATTATTTACGTTCGATTTCGTCATATATCATTCGCTTACCCCCCCACACCAGACACTTTAAAGAATCAGGAAAATCTACAATGAAAATAAACAACAAGGGTAACCATATAATTTACAAAGGTAGTTTAATGTGATTTATTCGAAATAAACTACGAAAAACAGTTTTAATTCGAGTACTGATTTAATTAAAGTTTTCAGACCATTTCCAGCATTTGCTTGTCTTGCGTATAATTTGATTATCGCCGGATTGGACTTCGATTTTTATTAATAATCTGGGATTTCCAGGTAATTTACGTTCAAACTAAGACCCTTCTTGGCTGTGACACAAAATCGATTTCTATTTCGCTTTAACCTCTAATAACTAGTGACACGAAACATATTATTTCCATTGAATAATCACAGTATTCTCTTCAAGTTCGACTTTTAATTACGTTAAAAATATACGACCGTCAATTTTTTTACCGAGTCTCATTTCACGGCGATGCATGATTGAATCAAACGTCGAATTTTAATTACTATGTAATTCCAGTTCGTGTTGTTTAGGATAAAATTTGCGTTCGTAAAGTATCTTGCTCCCAGCGGCCATGCGATTCTTCGTCTTTTTACTGTCTATCTCTTTCTCTTTCTCTCTCTCTCTCTCTCTCTCTCTCTCTCTCTATATATATATATATATATATATATATATATATATAAGTAATTATAGTCGTCTGGAAAAAAACTTAGGTGCTTTGGCCTGTAAATGAACAAACCAATACCCCAGGAAAAATAAGGGACAAATAAACAAAGAACTAAGAACATGTAATTGAAGCGAAAACAATCGTCCAGAATCCAAGCTCAGACTCCAAAGAAAAAAATCCTCCAAAACGAGTAAAGCAAATGTAACTAAGTAAAGTGCTCAATACACTAAGTAGACCAAATCTAACTATCATCCTAAAGAGCTAGGCAAACCTACCTAGGTTTCACCTACGCGGATCGCCAGGGTATCGTCATATATATATATATATATATATATATATATATATATATATATATATATATATATATATATATATCAATCGTTATCTTCTGTCTTAATCCCTGTCCTTTTTATTGATGGCTCCTTTAATAAGGTTTTCTTTTTCTAATATTATTCCGCAATCACGTCAGCAACCCCTTGCGTCTTAGTGTCTTTATTGTCTTTGCTTTGCTTAGGGTGAAATGAGTAAAAAATATCTATCTATCTATCTATCTATCTATCTATCTATCTATCTATCTATTTGTCTGTCTGTCTGTCTCGTCGATTCAAGTATCAAGAAACACATTGCTGAGGACAGAAATCTATCCGGTTAATTGGGAGACGAAAGCTGCAGAAAGAACCAATTGCAAACGAGCAATCCATGAAAAAAAATGGATCTTTTGCAAACACCAGAAGACTAAACAGATGAGACAAAAGCCCAAAGAAAAGTCAGAGTTCTCCATTCCCTGAAACCATGCGGTGGCTGCGAACAGGACTCATTTCACACAGAAAATGTCGATGAACATCTCAATACTCGGCAGAGATTTCCGCCAACGATGATATATATATATATATATATATATATATATATATATATATATATATATATATATATATACACACACACACATATATATATATATATATATATATATATATATATATATAATAAAATATAATAAAAATGATTAAACACTAATATTCCATATATTCTATATGTGTATGCATGTATGTATATATATTTATATGTTTTGCATATGTATGTGTATATTTACCACTAATATTATCTATCTATCTATCTATCTATCTATCTATCTTCATAACTCTACCAGATTCTATTTTTAACAATAAAAATGTATTTAGCTCTAAGTTGAAATGATGATCCCTTTTCTGTTGCGAAATCCTGATCTAAAGTGTTCCCTCTTTTTTAAACTTATTTACCATTCTCTTGATGGTTCTTGAATGGACTTTGAAGATAGAAGCCAGAGTATGAATGTTGGTACCATTACTGAAGGCCTGAATCATCTTTACTCATTTGGGAAGACATAGTGGTGTTGACACAAAATGATTTTACCCTGTTCTCTTTCTAGCTGAATAACACAATGTGTTTTTAAGTGATTCTTACCACAAATGGTGTCAAGATGGCTAAACATCTTATCAGAAAACCTGGAAAAAAAGAAACTCAATTTATTTAGTGGTTTTAGATCTTAAACATTTTATGGGATGGACAATTATCCCATGATGTTACAAGATCTGGACGAATTTTGCTGTTACAACCGGTATATATATTTATATTTCTGAGATGAGGTATTGTAATTATTTACAGTATTTATATTGTTCGAACTGTTGTCCTCATTTTTGTCGCCATATTCACGACATTTCGGCCGTTGTACGCACCGGGCTTCTTAAGATTAGACTGCAAGAACATCACAAAGCCGTAACATGAGGGGAAACAGAAAAATCAGGCGTAGCTGACCACATATGACGGGAAAAGGGAGATCCCTGCCCACTATGGGATGAGCCCGAAATAATAGACAGAGAACATCACTGGAAAATGCAAAAACTTAAGGAATCATAACATATGCTAGGCCACAAAACTGTCTTAAAACGACCAAGCATAGAAATGAATACATTATAGGAACCAGTAATACGGAATGCTACAGAAAAGCAATAATAACAACAAAATTGAAATATGAGCTCTGGTAAAAACTGTTTACTGAGAATTAAGTTTATAAATCTCAAAAATTACATTACACTGAGGTTCTCAAGGACACATGGCCATGTGGATAAAAGCGCTGGCTGGATTCAGTGACTTGACTCAAAAAGTTTTGAGTTCAATACCTGCAGTGGTGAACGAAACTTTCTACGTGATATACCTCCGGATGAGGCATGGCACGTGGAACTCGAACAAACTACCCCGGTGGACGAAATAAAGGGTTCAGTTTGAATTTCCAATCACCTGAAGAAAGCCGGATTGAACCACGGCTGAAACGTTGTGAATAAGACAACAAAGCTGAAGACAACAGTCCGACATATGTAAATAATATATATATATGTGTGTGTGTGCGTGGTTGTGTTTTACTTCAAAGATTATTTTTACTGTATACTCGTATTTGAGTAGAACGTCTCGTTTTTTTTTTAATAGATTTGTTTATATTGTCTACTGATCTGCGCATTCAAGAATACTAGTGTACGACCCGTCAGGATTCGAAACTGCGTCCAGCTTCGTAGGAGAAACCACACTCCGATGATCCGACTTTAGACTACTCTGCTTCGGGGTGATTCAGAGCCATGCAAGTTTCTATTTGTCTTTCATTCTTTCTTTCTTAATATTTTTCTTTTTTTTTTCTTTCTACATATTTCTGTTTTTCTTTCATTCTTTCTCAATATTCTTTCTTTTTTCTTTCCTTCTCAATATTTCTTTCTTTCTTTCAATCTTTCTTTTCTAATATTCTTTTTTCTTTCTCAATATTTTATTCTTTCTTTCAATCTTCTTTCTTAATATACTTTCTTTTTTCTTTGAATTTTTTTACTTCTGAATATGTGTTTCTTTCTTTCTTTCTTTCTTTCTTTCTTTCTTTCTTTCTTTCTTTTCCTATTAATATCCTTTCCTTGAATCTTTGTTAATATTAGTCTTTCATTATCTATTAATATTTTTTCTTTCTTTCACAATATTATTTTCAAATTTTTCTTTTCTCTTTTCTTCAGTATTTCACTCATTTTCTATTTTCTTTCTCAATAATTGTTTCTTTCTTAGTATTTAATTTTCCCTTTCTTTTTTCTTTGTTTCACAATAATTCAATTTTCTTTTTTTTTTTACATTTTTTCTTTCTTTCTTTATCAATATTTCTTGTTCCTTCTTAATACTTTTTCTTTCTTTATTCCAATATTCATTTACTTATTCTCCGGATTTTCGTTCATTTACACTCTTCAGCTGCTTTTTTATTAATAATATCGTCTGCATTTCTTTCTTCCTCTCCTCCTAACCTTTCTGCTTACTCTCTCTCTCTCTCTCTTTCTCTCTCTCTCATACACGCACTCTTCTGCACTTTCTCTCATATTCTCTTATAATCTTTCTCTTTTCTTCTTGTTCATACACTTTTTTTCATTTTTCTTTTTTTTACTCCCACAATGGATCTATTTTTAACCCTCTCTTTCTAACTCCCTTCCTTATATACATCTCTCATATTTCTCTCTTCTTCCCTATTTTTTTCATTTTTTTTTATCTCCGCTCCCTTTTATCTCACTCAATTTTCCCACTTCCTTCCTTCCTTCCTTCCTTCCTTCCTTCCTTCCTTCCTTCCTTCCTTCCTTCCTTCTCTCTCTCTGTTTACGTTCCTTTATCTCATCAAGTGTTTTCTCTCTTTTCTTTTTATTTCTTATTTATATAATATTATATCGGGAATCATTCTTTCTTTCTCGTCTTTCTTGCGCTACACCCACCCCTGTCATTTCCTTCTTTCATTCTTTTCTTTTTTCGGCGCAATAATTCTGGCTGTCCTCCTCCTTCGTTGATATATCTTTCTTCTGCTCTCAATCTTTCACTGCAAATAAAAAAAGGACACTTCCGGCAACCTCTGCAGAAAAGAATAAAACCAACACATAAAAAAAAAAACATATGTATTATTACCATTCTGACGTTTTCTTTCGTGCATGCAATACAAAATTCAGATCTCTTTTTTCCAGTTTCCTGCTTCCATTAGTGTTATACTGTGCAAGCCTAGCGCTTAACAGACTCAACTGGCGACCATTAGATATAAACCACAATCAACCTATGATTTAACTTACAAAACAAGACGTCGTAAAAAGTTTGAAAATAATTTCTAAAATAATGCAGATTTAATTAAAAGAGAAAAAATAATTTATTAAGGTAAAAATGCAGATAAAGATAATTAATTTGGGAGTCTTCAATTAATTCTTTCTCTATTAATGTTTTTCTAAATATTTATTTTTTCTTTTCTTTCGAGCTTACGGCCATATCCCGTTAAAACAGCGGTTCCCTTACGATCACCGCAGTTAAATAACATCGGGCCTGGTCAGTAGCTAGTTGGGTGAGAGCCTTGGAATGTCAGGTGCTGTGAGCTTGGATATGTGAGTGTTATCGCGTATGGCCATATTGTTTTGATATAACATGAGGCATTTTACTTCCAAATCCAAATCGAGAGGCTACTCACTCCTGATGGAGGAACCCCGCCATAATTGACCATGTCTTTAGGTGTGTAGGCGTAATTACGACGTTTGGATGACGGGTTGGTAAGGCTATTTAATCCATAGTTGGGGTGGATGGCCGTTGACTCATATGAGTTCATTCACCCTTTAAATACTCCTGATTTTTTGAGCTGTTGGGGTTCAACTTGCCCTCCTTACCAGGCCGGGAGCTGGTTAACTCGACCACTCAGTTTTTAATTCAAAGTTGTCCCTGTCCTAGATCGGTTGCCACCCAAGGCTATAGGACCCAGTCTGCCCTGCTATTTTCTGACTGTTCGGTTAAACTCTCTTCCTACGGGCGGGAGGAACCCGAAGGAGGCTACGCCGAAGGGCGGAGTCTCCTTCGGGGAGGTTAAACCGGCCCTGAACCCGTTTATGCGGGTTCAAATGGGCTATTTTTTGGCCGAGCCTAATGGCTCGGAAATGCCCACGTTAAAAAGGCCTTGTGCCACATGACACCCTCGTGGGGGGGGGTGACTGAATATCGTCTGCCCTGCTATTTTCCCATAGCTTGAGAAGAGAATAGAAGAGTTAGTGCTTTTCCCAAGGGTAATAGTACGTAAAGGAACTCGACTGGAATTCGAACTCGCCTCTTCGATTCCTCAATCCATGCCGCTATACATGACTCCATACATTTTAATTATTTGTATATAATTAATAAATTTGTTAAACAGGGTGGTCCTGCACCTCTCGATTGGCTTCCCAGAAGTCCAGACCTCACGTCTTACGACAACGCTCTGTGGGGTATTATCAAGAAGAGAGTTTCACATGAACGATACCAGAATACCCATCAGTTGAAGGACTCTGTTCGGAGACCTTTTGCAACAATCAACAAAGCACAGATTTGTAAAATATCACTCAGGACATGGCGCCGCATTATTTTGTGCCCTGAAAATGATGGCGTTCATACAGACCTTCTTGATGTGTGGCATCGTCAATGAAAGTGAATAAACTGAATCCAGTACATGTGCTTAGTATTACTATATTACTTATTCTTCTATTGTTTTCAGTACTTTTTGCTAGGGGCTGAATAGACTTTCAGACCATCCAGTATATTAATGTAGTTATAGAAATAAAAATAAAAGCAGCAGTGGTAACTAAAACTAGTATTAAAATAGATGATAATATCAACAGCTTACATTGTTGGGATAAAAAAAACAACAATAAAAAGACGGGTTTAAACTAATCATATAATTCGCATGGTTCATAAATTCTTTAGTTATTTAGCGTCTATGTTACGTTCTGCCAATACTTGATAAACAACTGACTATTCCGTATTTAGCTTTGATCGTGAGGAAAAACAGAAAAGACTGATCAGAGACGCTGTTTAGGTTCAGTGAGAAAAAGAAAGAAAGAAAGCAGAGGTGATAATGCTCTTGTGTGTTTAACGTCTGCTTCAGAGAAATGTAAAACTTGTCAACTTCTTTTCATTTGTTCTACCTTACTTCATTCAGGGATGACATTTATTATATTGAAAAAGTTGGGTAAATTTGTATCGCAAATAGTTATTGATTGATTCATTTTCTATGTTTATCTGCCCTTTGCAGGTTGTTTAAAGCTAGAAAATATTTTTAGATTGTAAGAATTCTTTTGAAGATAATGGTTTTATTGATGTTAGCCTTACTAATTATCCCATAGATGGAGAAGAGCTGGATTCATATCTTTCCCGAGGCTATTTGCGCGTAACGAACCCAACTGAAATTGGAACTCGACTCTTCGATTAACAATTTCGAGCTATTATCCATGACACCACCTGCACACCCCATCTTACAGCACCTGCTATTCTTAATTGGTCACCCATCTAGATACTAACTCAAATAGCTAATGATGAAATATATTCTGTAGTCGTCAAGTTCACAATTAACTTATTCATTAGCTATAAGAATACACCAGAAATTTAAAATGGGAAAACATAAAAATGTCATGGGAACTTTTAATAATAAAAGAAATAATGACGAGTGTATTATCCCTTTGTGTGGGATAAATAAAATAAGACCGTCCTGGGAATGACGATAAACTACATCCGTGTCCTGAGTATGACGATAAACTACGTCCAGCAGCAAGGTTTCTGATCAAGAGGTTTTGATGAGCGTAGAACCACCTTTTAATTGCTGCTGTTCCCAGGTCCACCCTGACCTGGGGTGGTAGCAACTGTTAGGGAGTCCGAGCTATGGGCAAATAGTTAACCCACAAACTGGGGTAAAAAAAACACTATGGAAGTGTAAAAATAGGTTTTTATACCGGAAATACTTTGTAAAAAATTATTAACAGTAATTAATTTCTGTGAAGAAAAATTATTACCAGCAATACATTATTACAAGTGATACACTTAAAAAAAATAATATTACCAGCAATGCATTTTTGGGAGAAAAAAATACCAGCTATACATTTAAAAAAAAAGTTACCAGCAATACATTTGTTTAAAAAAAAATGTTACCAGAAATAAAAATTTTGTCGACATTAAATAAACCGTTGAGGTTGATATGCTGTAAAACAAACAAACCAAATCAAACCAAAAATAAGGAGGCGTGAAACTGGGAATAAAATAATACAAATAATGAAGAGTTTATTGACACAGAGTGACGGGGGAAAGCGGAAATAAGGAGATGGAGTAAAACTTGTAATAAAATAAAAAGATTCTTCATAAATTTCGGCTGTTTTATACTCCGGCCTTCTTCAATTGTTATTCGTTGTAGTTTGGAACTGAACCCCTTCATTTCGTTCACCGGGGGTAGATTATTCTACTTCCAAGTGCCATGCCTCTTCTTCCTTTAGTAACTCAACTGAAATTTTTATTTATGGTCGAAAATCAAAAGTTTTTTTCACCTCTGCTGTGGCTAGTCAGGTACTGAACACGCAGCTCTTTGGGTCAAGCCAATGGATTAGTTCAACAAACGCTTTTTAGCCGCTGAGCCATGCGCGAATATTTACATGGCCAGATCTCAGAAGTATAGACAGATATTTACGTAGTGATATCACGATACCAGACATGAACATAAGAGTCAGTTCACTTTTTTTCCAACTTTTGATTTTCGACCATTTTTTTTTTTTTTTGAATGAAGTATCGCATGTCCGCTGAGAGCAAGATTTGATATCCCCAGACCATCAGACACGTGACTAGGGTAGGACTTCAAACGGCCGAATCATTGAGCAAAATGACAAAGACAAAAAAAGAAAAGAGTTTTAATTTAGTAATGAATCAATCTTGTAAGAAAATGGCCAATGTCGGGTGCAAGTGTGATTTTGAAACGAAATATGGTTTGTCGTCATCACAGGAGAAGGTGAAATTGTTCATTATTACTTGTTACCTTTGTTTGATGGGAACGATCCATCCTTTATGTTGAATTTTTCGCCTGGCGCACCCTCTGCGAGCTGACAAGTGTTTCCGTTTTGTTACAAATTTATGCATACATATTTTCTTAAATATCACAATAAATGGAAAGGTGCGCTGGCGTAAAACATCGACAGATTATTTTATCTTATAATTACGTGATATAAAAATCATGAAAGGTAGTATAGTGACCTTTCAGTGTTTTAGACTAGAATCCACATCTATGTTAGATTTATCAAATAGAGTCAGATGTGAGAATCGACCATCCTAGGCTTATATCTTAATATAAGGTAAGAATTATGCAGGGCCACACACACACACACACACACACACACACACACACACACACACACATATATATATATATATATATATATATATATATATATATATATATATATATAAACATAAAACATTAGGCAGCATATAATTTGCACGTTCCGATATTGTACAAAAACCGTCAATAATAGCACATTCTCCAAAAAAAAAACATCTTTCGGTTTACAAACAATTATTTCGTCTCGAAGTTTTTGATTTTATAAGGAAAAGATATGCCTGACGATGAATAAAGGATTATTCGAAAGTACTTGCATTTTAAAAAAAATATAAACTGGAAACAACAGACAACAGTTTTATAAATGAGGATCACATCATTCTATGGATTAACAGTATTTTAATGCATACATTATACACTACTAGCGATGGATGTCGCCAATAATAGCATTAATATTGCTGATTGATTCTATGCGTGATTATTTCTTTGTATATATATATATATATATATATATATATATATATATATATATATATATATATATATAGATAGATAGATAGATAGATAGATAGATAGATACATATAAATATAGATAACTAGACTCGTTTCGAAAAACCCTCGAATTTGTGATTTGCTAATCAAATCAATCTCGAGGGGAAAAAAAGTTTTTAAAAAAAGAAAGAGCTACAAACATGGACTTCTGCCGACAAAAAATCGCACAGATGCAGGTCTGAAGCCCAAAGAAAAAACCCCGATACGAGTAACAACTAACTAACAAAAGAGCTCAATACAACCGTAGAGCAGACCTAGATACACCTAGTGAGCCAGACAAACCTACCTAGGTTTTACCTAAACGGATCGTCAGGGAAAGTTTGGCGATCCGTTTAGGTGAAACCTAGGTAGGTTTGTCTGGCTCACTAGGTGTATCTATATAGATAGATAGATAGATAGATAGATAGATAGATAGATATTCTGTTTATACGTTATTTTTATAGATACCATAGATATAGATAGTTTGATATAAGTAATTAATATACATATGCGTGCGTGTATGCCCGCGCCCGCGTGTGTGTATACAACTTACGATATAACTAAAATATATCTACAAAAAGACAATATGAATAAAGACTAAAGAAAAACTTATCTTACTGACGTGTTATGTCTTCTTTATCAAGGCAAATGTAAGGATTTCATTTTGCTAGAATTATTTATAAACAGAAGAAAATATCTTAATTTTTCAGAATTTTTAAATTTCTCAACGTTCATAA